CATCTTCTAATAAGTGTCCACCAAGATTGTTCAAATAAAAGCCCTGGGGTCAAAATTGGCCCCGCCCCAGGGGGTCATTGATTTTCCCTATATGCATATAGTAAAAACTTAAAAAAAATTCTTTTAAAGAACCCAAAGAGCTAGAGCTAAGATATTTAGCATGAAACATCTTTTAATGGGTGTCTACCAAGTTTGTTCAAATAAAAGTACTGGGGTCAAAATTAGCCTTGCCCCAGGGGGTCATTGATTTTCCCTATATGCATATAGTGAAAACTTAAAAAAATCTTCTTTTAAAGAACCCAAAGAGCTAGAGCTAAGATATTAAGCATGAAACGTCTTCTAATGAGTGTCTACCAAGATTGTTCAAATAAAAGCCCTGGGGTCAAAATTGGTCCCGCCCCAGGGGTTTCATTGTATTTAACTATATGTGTATAGTAAAAACTTAAAAAAAATGTTCTTTTAAAAAACCCAACGAGCTAGAGCTTAGATGTTCAGCATGAAACATCTTATGGGTGTCTACCAAGTTTGTTCAAATAAAAGCCTTTGGATTAAAATTGGCCCTGCCAGGGGGTGGGGGGTGGAAAGGTCATTGTTTTTCATTATATGTGTGTAGTAAAAACTTTACATCATGAAACATCTTCTAATGGGTGTCTTCCAAGTTTGTTCAAATAAAAGCCTTGGGTTTAAACTGGCCCCGCTCCAGGGGCCTATATACAGGTGAGCGACCACAGGGCCATCATGGCCCTCTTGTATAAGTCTAGCTTCTGGGTTTATGATTATTGTGCCCCAACTATGGAGGGGGGGGGGGTGTTTATAATTATTGAGCCCCCCACTATAGGGGTGGGGGGCATTTAGATTTACCCTTGTCCATCCATCCCTCAGTCTGTTCTCATTTTGGGTCACAGGCAGCTCAAAAAGTATTTGACCTAGAGTTATGAAACTTTACAGGAATGTTGCTCAGCATGTGAAGTTGTGCACCTTGGGTTTTCGCTTGTGAATTTATTCTGTTTTGTCAAAGTAATTGACCTTGACTTCGTAAAAATTTGCAATTTTTAACTTGAGTGGCTCATAGCTCAAGAGTGTTTGACCTAGGGTCATGAAACTTTACAGAAATGTTGCTCGGCATGTGAAATTGTGCACCTTGGGTTTCACTTGTGAATTTATTCTGTTTTGTCAAAATTATTGCCCTTGACTTAGTAAAAATTTGCAATTTTCAACTTGTTTCAACTTGTTTCACACAGCTCAAGAAGTGTTTGACCAAGGGTTATGAAACTTTACAGGAATGTTGCTCAACATGTGAAGTTGTGCACCTGGCATTTCGCTTGTGGATTTGTTTGTAAAGTTCTTGCCCTTTACTTAGTAAAAGATTTTTAGTTTTCAACTTGTGGCACATGTAGCCCCCCCCCCCCCAAAAAAAAAGAAATAAAAAATGACCTAGAGTCATAAGATTGACAAAACAGTGGAGTTTGGGGCCACCCGTGTCCTATGGACATATTTTTAGTTAATCCTGATGTAACAATTAATATGTAAATCAAGAGGAGAGAACACACATCAAACATCAGGATGGTTTGTAACTGGTTTATTCTAGGATCTACCGGTTTCGGTCTTTCAAGACCTTCATCAAGATATATTTCAAAGAAAACTGATTACTGAAGTACTTAAAAAGAGGTTACAGAATATTGTGACGTATGTTACTATAAATAAATGATGTTCATAAGTCTAGCAGCTTCATTTCAAGAGTTATCTCCTCTTTAGTTTAAGTCTGTCTGTCTGTCTGGCCGTCCCTAAAAACTGAGATTTAACTTTTAAAGGTCTTGGAACTTTTCCAGCAAATTTACTTAAAATAAAGAAAAGTTGAAACATTAGTTATACATATTCATCCTGAGAAAATTGTATCTTTTGATTATCTGTTGTATAAAATAATTTCCTTATTAGACATGAAAACTTAACACATTATATACTTTGATACAGATAAACTAGTAACTTAAAAGATTTATTGTTCATTCATGTTTCTTCCACAATGGCATAATTGAATGGTCTTCAACAGGTCCTTGAGAATGTTGCTGGGGTTCTAACCGGTAGGGGACTTTAGGATTGCTTGCAATACTATGATAATTGCTTGTTAATTATGTCTCCCCCACCTCGGGGGGAGACATATTGTTTTTGCCCTGTCCGTCCGTCCGTCAGTCCGTCCGTCCGTCAGTCAGTCCGTCCGTCCATTCTTCGTTTCCGGACGATAACTAGAGTTCCTTTTGACCTACAGCTCTCAAACTTCATAGGATGAATGGTCTTATTGAGCAGATGATCCCTATTGTTTTTGGGGTCAGTAGTTCAAAGGTCAAGGTCACAGTGACCGTTGGTCAATTTCTCGTTTCCGGATGATAACTAGAGTTCCTTTTGACCTACAGCCCTCAAACTTCATAGGATGATTGGTCTTATAGAGCTGATGATCCCTATTGTTTTTGGGGTCAGTAGGTCAAAGGTCAAGGTCACACTGACCGTTGGTCAATTTCTCGTTTCCGGATGATAACTAGAGTTCCTTTAGACCTACAGACCTCAAACTTCATAGGATGATTGGTCTTATTGAGCAGATGATCCCTATTGTTTTTGGGGTCAGTAGTTCAAAGGTCAAGGTCACAGTGACCGTTGGTCAATTTCTCGTTTCCGGATGATAACTAGAGTTCCTTTTGACCTACAGCCCTCAAACTTCATAGGATGATTGGTCTTATAGAGCAGATGATCCCTATTGTTTTTGGGGTCAGTAGGTCAAAGGTCAAGGTCACAGTGACCGTTGGTCAATTTCTCCATTTCCATTCCTGTTTCCATTCACAGTTATTCTCAGCAGTGGGGGAGACATGCGCTTTTTTACAAAAGCATCCTCTAGTTCTATAATACATTTGCATGCACTTTTCTTTAAAAAGATATTGTTGTCTTAATAAATTTTTATACATATTCATGATAAGGCAGTTCATCCTTTTAAATAAATAAAGTTGTGCATAAAATTTTGCGGTCATTGTAATACGTTTTTCTTATATTTTTTCACTTCAACTTAACCATTGTTTCTTTAATTATTAATCAATTTTTTTCATGGTTTATCTATGGGGGAGATTAGACCAAATTTTGTAAATGACACAAAAAAATTAAACAAAAGACAAGGATTTTTTTGGTTTTATTTGGATATTGTGCTGAAAGTGAGAGGAATTGGTACAGTCAACTCCACTTATAACGAACTTGCTGATAACAAACTCGTCATTAATTGCAAATTAAATCTGAAATCCCTGGCCGATTCCTCCTATATAAAACTATATTAAACAAGTACCAATGTTGCTGCAATGCAGCAATTGAGAAGCTCCGCGCAAAAAATACGCTCATTACAGATACCTTACCAAATTATTCCTACACACAGGTCATGTTATATTCAGATTAAGAACTATTGCAGATTTTTTTCGAATGTTTTGTAAACCATTTTTTGCATAATTATACTTATATTATGTACTGTCCATAATTAAAAAGAGACGGCCAGATATTTCATTTAAAAAAAAGTGTTTTCACTGATGCCTTCCTTGTAAATGTTATGTGACATGACTGTACTGTTTTCTGTTTGTTTCACTACTGTAGTCAGTAACATAAGATGATAAAAATATCAAAGTCTGTTTTTTTTCCCCGCCGAAAAGGCGGCCAGGATATAGTAATAGTCTCCATCCGTCCATTCGACCTTCCATCCTTCCGTCCAACATTTTTGTCCGGAGCATATCTCGAAAAGTATTTGAGTTATCACCTTGAAACTTCATAGGTAGATAGACCTCATTGAGGAGGAGTGCAGTGCACAAGAATGATAACTCTACTTTACATAATTTTTGAGTTATTGCCCTTTGGTATTTTTCAAAATTAATATTGTCCAGAGCATAACTCAAAAAGCCTTTGAGATATTAACATGAAACTTCATAGGTGCATAGATCTCACTCAGGAGGAGTGCAGTGCATAAGAATGATAACTCTACCTTTCATAATTTTTGAGTTATTGCCCTTTGTTATTTTTCATACCTAATTTTTCACCAGAGTGGAGCATAACTCAAAAGTGTTTGAAATGTCAACATGAAATGTCATAGGTGGATGAGGAATGCTGTGTGCAAGAATGATAACTCTTCCCTTCACAATTTTTGAGTAATTGCCCTTTGTTCTTTTTCATACTATTTTGTCGGGAGCTTATCTCAAAAAGTATTTGAGGTATCAACTTGAAACTTCATAGCTAGATGGATCTCATTGAGGAGGAGTACAGTGCACAAGAATGATAACTCTATCCTGCATAATTGTTTAGTTATTGCCCTTTGTTATATTTCAAAATTGATTTTTGTCCAGAGCATAACTCAAAAGGCCTTTGAGATATCAACATGAAACTTCATAGGTGCATAGATCTAACTCAGGAGGTGTGTAGTGTACAAGAATGATAACTCTACCTTTTATAATTTTTGAGTTATTGCCCTTTGTTATTTTTCATACTTAATTTTTCACCTGAGTGGAGCATAACTCAAAAGTGTTTGAGATGTCAACATGAAATGTCATAGGTGGATAGATCTTATTGAGGAGGAGTGTTGTGCGCAAGAATGATAACTCTTCCCTATATAATTTTTGAGTTATTGCCCTTTGTTCTTTTTCATACTATTTTGTCTGGAGCTTATCTCAAAAAGTATTTGAGGTATCAACTTGAAACTTCATAGGTGGATAGATTTTACTGAGGGGGGGAGGGGGTGCAGCACACAAGAATGATAACTCTAACCTGCATTATTTTTCAGTTATTGCCCTTTGTTATTTTCAGCCATCAGTATTCACATAGATTTCAAATCTGTAATTACTTCAGCCATCAGTTTTCATTACCAAAAGACCTCTTAAAATGGAATTATTCTGCTCTACTACATATACATTCTTCCAATGAGCAAACACATTCGGCGGGTGATGGCCATGTTGACATGGCTCTTGTTTATTGGGGGCGCATGCGCAATGCGCCCCCAATGTAATAACGACAAATTCAGATTTACTATGATGTGAACACAATTAGTCAGCTACCTACGCTAAGCAAAATAGTTCCAAAACTTCGCAGTAACTCCAAAATCATAGTTCCCTATCTATTTTAAAATTGACTGGCCAATTTTGTACTAAATTTAGCAATCGTCTTTTAAAATTGTATGTATATTTTTGCTTTACGCGATTTTAATATTACTACGCCAGCGGTCGATCATAGCCAAAGTACTTGCATAAATATAGTACAAATTACATGTAGTCACAAGTTAATTAAGTGTCATAGAACTCAAAAATTTAGCAAGTAATGGAATACGGATTTCAGATCAGCTAACTTTAAAGCTTATAGGGCCTAATGCTTCATAAGTGTAAATTTAAGAAAAACAATGCATGCGTATGAATACGAACTATTTTCGCCCTTACGTCATTTTACCGCAATCGCCATTGTTTACAAGTTCATCCGTGAAAGATTGAGAAGTTTATATAGAATTTCCACGTGTTAAAACGAGTTGTAAGTTTTATTTTACAAAAACCTTATCTCCCATTTACCTAAATGTTGTATAACTTTGCTTGTTGTGCATTTATCCATTTATCAGTGGCGAAATCGTCGTCAAATCGTTGGCGATTCTGGTTGCTTACAAAAAATACAAGGACTTAATACCGGATATGACTTTAAATACAACGTTATTCAAGATGACTGATGTTCATCAGTTCATTGTTTATATTTCATAACGTTGATATTTAAGTTGCAATCAAAAGCTGTATTTTTTACAAATTTTCTTCACAATCGGCCATTATCGGGTAAAGCTTTTTTGTACTGAATTGACCTTATCAAATTTTAAGTTTAGCAGTTCCTTCCCTTGAAAGTCCTCCCTCAAACCATTTCCTACCCAGACATTTTTGACCCATTTTTTTTTTTATATATTTTTTGGAGGTGAGTTATTTACATCTAGCGTATACATATTGTTGATGCTTACCTTACAGATTTTTTAAATAAAAAATATACAAGTTCAGTAATGATGTCTTATTACATTTTCTCAAAGAATGAACTGGATCCACGATGCATAATCCATATTTGTACCCTCTTTGCGAAATCTGCTGAAACGGTACCTATCATTCACTGCTTAAAACAAACCAGCGGTGGATAACAATCATGTAAAATTTCATTGTAATAAGGAAAAGAGCTGAGGTATGACACTTAGAAACCACAGAACACTAGATTGTTTTATTTATGTGCTGATTCATCATGTGCCAGTCTCTCATGTACTGCAACTTCATAATAAGCTAAAAAAAATCGACATGTCTTGCCTTGTCCATCACCTCGGCTTACAGACACTTCACCCCCCAGACACTTCACCCTAGGCCCTTTTTTGCAGACACTTCACCCCTCATTTTAAAAAATTTGAGTAAGGTTATAATTATATTTACACTGGGGATTAGCATTGAAAAACCCTGACATTTGCTTAGTTCTGTGTAACATCTATACGCTACCAGTACAATTTTTTTTTGGAAAAATGCGTTTTGACTCAAATTGATACTACATAACTGACAGATATTCATGCCACATGGTTAATTTAGAATTTTATCCAGGGAGACATGAGAATTATGCATAATATTTATACACATTTAAAGTTAAACCATGCATAATATATTGATTTCTTATTGGAGTGAAAAAAATGAGTACATGTACATAAATAATGTTCGGAAGTATAAAATGAACTAGGTACAAATATTGCTCTGTCAGATGTAGTTATACTTGGTTTTTATCACATATCACTTATCAATATGAAATCATCCATTTTATATATGCCAATTTTGGATGGGAATTTTGACAGTAATTTTGGGACTTTAAAAATAAAACATTTGAAAATTTGCTGTCTTTTTTTATTGGGAATGTAAATAGTTTTATAAGGGAAAAATGCTGTTCTATTACAAATAGAATAGATAATAGTTACAAATACTACAAATAATATATCAGGGATTGAAAAACGAAAAACAACAACAACAACAATGCTTAAAAAATATAAATTTCCTACACGTTCTGACTCATTTTTCTTTTTTGAAGACATTTTTTCTTTTTTGAAGACACTGTTTAACTTACTTCTTTCTGGCTAAACATTTGCCAAATATTGCATTGTGACATTTTAAAAAAATTTTGTGGAACATACTGGAATCGCCGCACGGGCTTTTAGTAAGTTTTTACAAAATAGAATCAGACAGAATTAAGCGTTGCATTCAACAAATCAACATCAGTTTTGCCCATCAAACACAGGGGAATTATTTTGTGCTCTGTCCTACTAGTAAAACTTGAAAAATGGTTTCAAAAGAATTGAATTGAAATTTGATTAATTTATGCTAGAAATTTCACATGTCCTGCAGGATGGGCATTTTTGGGAGATTAACTTGTCCAGAGTCATTTTTACTCGTATTTATCATTTATGAGCGGACAAGTGGATTTGTCAAGCCTTGATTAACTGCAAGTGATTAACCACATTATTTCCATAAAACTTATACTACATGTAATTACATTGTTTGAGATAATAAATCATTTGACTTACTAGTGAAATAAGTTTAAGACTGCATAATATTGATATAAAAGTGAATTCAGTTAGTGGGTTCCAAACTACAGGTGGAAACTGTTCTATTTTCTATTCAAGTTTTTTTTTGATGAAACAAAACTTAATCCTGACAACAGTTATATATGCTTAACAGTGTTGTATTTTGATTATTTTAAAATCTGTTGAAAATATTCATATTAAATTCATGAAAAGAAGTTTAAAAAAAAAAGAGAAAGAAATGAGATTTGGGCATAATTTTTAAGAAGGTAAAGATACTTCAATGAAAAAGTAAGATAGGTAACAAAAATCAATCAAACGAAAAACTCATTTAAATTTCAAGTTGTTCCTGACATGTCTAAGTTGTTCCTGACATGTCAGAACAAAATTAATAATTTTTTTTTTTTTGAAATCTGGTAACCTCGAGCTATGTTCTCTACCGATTGAGCTATGATTCCGACAATTATTACTCACTTTTACAATAATTATTGTTAGTCAATCATATCTGGACATGCAACATTCAACTTACCCATATATATGCCTTTAAAAAGGACTGTTTCGACTATAAATACTTGAAATTATAAAGAAATTGCCCTATTATTCTTTACAGTCTATTGTGTATAGGCTAAATTTAGGAGACACTTGTGAAAATACGCAATGAAAAAATGAATAATTACATTGAAAATACAGGAAATGAAAATGAGCATTTTACTTTATCAATATTTCTTAATGTTTCAATGAAGTATGTAATAAATTAAAAGAACTATTGTATTGATTAGGAAAAGTTTTTATTTCAGGTTTGTGAATAAAGGCTTGTTTGTTAGATTTCAATTGTGGCTCAGTTGGTTGTTTGCTGAGAAGCTGTGAAACATAATTATACAGGCCATTAAGGTAAAAACATGTTAGCTTTTTTCTGACTTTGATATATATATCCATCTTACTGTAGCATAACAAAAGAGAACAATAGAATTCATTCCATAACAATAGAATATGGGGCCATGGCCCTTTAATAAACAAAAGGAAAAACAATAGTAATGGTCCTTAATCCCTTTTCGGTCACACGGGCAAACATTTTCTTCAAGTAAGACCATACATTATATATGTTAGAAAAAGTTAAAAAGGAAATGTTCATTGTTATATATATATTTGGTTTGAAAATCTTTGTATATTTACAATTTTGACCAAATAGTTTCTCAAAGTATTTATTTTGACATTAACTGACATAATTAGTGGCATATGTTTCTAACTTCTTTTCCAGGAGGTTTTTGTCAGATTGATGAATGTGAAATTAAGAGGACCCATTTTGAGGATGCTTTTTATGAATGGAATCACGAGAGATGAAGTCTAAAATGTGATACTGTCAATGTGACTAACCTTGAAGTAAACAGATGACACAATGTTTTTTCAATGTCATGGGCATATAATGAAGAGGTACATGATTATTTGTACACACTTTTCCTTAATAAATACTTTCTAAATGTTTGACATGTTAAAAGGCCAACACAGGGCTCAAAGTTTATTTAAAATCTGTAAGCTTGGCACTTAGAGCCAATTGTATATTAATTATTTCAATATCTTTTCATTATGCAATCTGTTGTTAATTTAGGAACAAAAGTCGATAGCAAAAACATTTTAGCCGTGTCATGACGAAACCAACATAATGGGCATCCGCCCAGTCTGATCAGGATCCATACTGTTCGCTATCAGTTTCTCTACTTGTAATAAGGTTTGTAAGCGAACAGCATGGATCCTGATCAGACCAACCTGGTCTGGATCCATGCTGGTCGCAAACCCATTATGTTGGTTTTGTCATGACATGGCTCATTTGTGACATGTAATTCACTTAAATTGTATTTTGAAATTCAAGTTTTCATTCCTTTCACCTCAAGGCATTTGACATTGAAATAGTGACTTCATGTAGTAAGCAGTCAGTAAAACCTAATCATCTCATCTTGACTTAGCTGTATATAGATTATCAGAATCACTCACATTTACAAATTTATATGACTTTAAAAAGTTGTGTTACTAAGCAAATAAATAGATTTAATTGGGGTGACCATAGTCAAAGTAATGCACCTAAACCACTTACCTTTAAAGATATACTATGCTCATCAGTAAAATATTTTAATCATGAAAATGTATTGAATTCTATGCAATTCTTTTTGAATATGTCTAATTTGAATGAATTAACTATGCATTGGAAGCCATGTTCCTTCTTACGAGACAAAAAAAAATTTGGTCCTTCTTAAAAAAACTGTCAGTTTCCTAACAACACTATATATTTATATTGTGACCAACTATAGCATGTGGTGTTTTAACATTACATAGCTACTTTATGTAAACACAAAACATGCTTATTTTATGTTTACAAAGAGACTGTGTAGCAATTATCAATGTTCTATTATATTTAATATGGATTCTTTAATGTGAGAAAGCAATCCAGCTAGCTTTAAAAAAAGGCGGTGGTTCTACTCAGATGCTCGTTTGTGAAATCTGATCAGAGGGGTTGAGCTCTGGCATTGGTCGCGCATTTTTTGGTTTTATACCTTTATAAATCAGAGTAATTCTAACAGAAAGATGCTGAAAAAAAGTTAACATACAAGTATGGAATATCTCGGTCAGCAATAAACTTTTTCAAAACTCTATTTCAGAAAACAGAGATGCTTGTTTGACAGATACAGTAATAGTAGGAGTTATGAGGGAAGATAGAATGCAGTGATAACTATATTGAGGCACCACTTCATCACCAAGAACATGAAATGAATTATCAATGTTTTCGGTGTGTTTGAACACCCATTTTAAATAATACAGCTCAGAGTGAATTTTTCAAAATAATTAATTCTGTTTTCAAAGTTTTTTATTTTAGATCTTAGTTGATCTTGTCAAGTACTTAATTTTTTTAGGGATGGCAACAATTACTAAAATCAATACTCGAGTACTCGGTCATTTAGAGTATTCGGTTACTGGGATGATTTCCAATGATCTTTAAATTTTTATCACACAATATCAACACCGTCTGCATGCTACCTTCATTTCTATTTTAATTCATAGAATTTGTAGCTATAAATAGGATTGCAAGAAATACATATAATAAATATAAGCATAAGAAATGTCAATGACAGCATTTATTATATACCTATAAATTTTTCTTCCTAAAACACAGGATTATCTTGAAGCGCAAATAGTTTTCAACGGTTAGAAAATTCTGTATTATGTTAGAGACAAATACAGTACCATATATGAAAGGCCTGGACTATTTTTATGCTCCCCAAAAAATTTCGGGTGAGCATATAGTCGCCGCCTTGTCCGTCCGTCCGTCCATCCCCTTTTCTTGTCCGGGACTTAACTTTGAAACAACAACAGGTATTAACATGAAACTTTGTAGGTAGATAGATCTCATTGAGTAGGTGTGCAGTGCACAAGAACCTTAACTCTGCCTTGCTTAATTTTTGAATTATTCCCCTTTGTTTATTTTACACTTTGAACTTTGTCCGGGACATAACTCTAAAACTATAAGAGGTATCAACATGAAACTTTGTAGGTAGATAGATCTAATTGAGTAGGTGTGCAGTGCACAAGAACCGTAACTCTGCCTTGTCTAATTTTTGAATTATTCCCCTTTGTTTATTTTTACACTTTGAACTTTGTCCGGGACATAACTCTAAAACTATAAGAGGTATCAACATGAAACTTTGTAGGTAGATAGATCTAATTGAGTAGGTGTGCAGTGCACAAGAACCGTAACTCTGCCTTGCTTAATTTTTGAATTATACCCCTTTGTTTATTTTACACTTTGAACTTTGTCCGGGACATAACTCTAAAAGTATAAGAGGTATCAACATGAAACTTTGTAGGTAGATAGATCTCATTGACTTGGTATGCAGTGTACAAGAACCGTAACTCTGCCTTACCTAATTTTTGAATAATCCCCCTTTGTTTATTTTATACTTTGAAATTTGTCCGGGACATAACCTTTAAACTATAAGAGGTATCAACATGAAACTTTGTAGGTAGATAGATCTCATTGACTTGGTATGCAGTGCACAAGAACCGTAACTCTGCCTTGCCTAATTTTTGAATTATCCCCCTTTCTTTATTTTACACTTTGAACTTTGTCTCTAAAACTATAAGAGGTATCAACATGAAACTTTGTAGGTAGATAGATTTCATTGAGTTGGTAAGCAGTGCACAAGAACCTTAACTCTCCCTTGCCTAATTTTTGAATTATCCCCCTTTGTTTATTTTTACACTTTGAACTTTGTCTGAGACATAACTCTCAATGTAAAAGAGATATCAACATGAAACTTTGTAGGTAGATAGATATCGTTGAGTAAGTTTGCAGTGCACAAGAACTGTAACACTGTCTTGCCTACTTTTGGAGTTATTGCCCTTTGATCATTTTGACACTTTGAACTTTGTCCGGGACATTACTCTAAGCAGTGCTTAAGAATTATTACTCTGCCTTGCCTTATTTTGAAGTAATTGCCCTTTGTTTATTTTTACTTTTTGACTTTTGTACGAGACATAACTTTAAAACTATTAGAGATATCAACATGAAACTTTGTAGGTAGCTAGATATAATTGGATAGAACTGCAATGCTTAAAGAACCTAAAGAAAGCCTGGTCTAATTTTGGAGTTATTACCGTAATTTCATTTTTACACTTTGAATTTTACCTTGGACATAACTCTGATATCATCAGGCAACTTTATAGATGGATAGATCTAATTGAATAGAAGTGCAGTGCAAAAAAAAAACATAACTCCGCTTTGCCTAATTTTGGGGTTTTTGCCCTTTGTTCATTTTTTTTACACTTTCCAGTGTCCAGAACCTTCTCGGGGAGCATCACCCGGTTCAACCGGTTCTTGTTAATGTTGGTTCTGATCTTAGCTGTGTATAACATAGTATATGGAAACGGCAACCAAAATAATAAAAGTGTGGCTGGTTTTGCACAAATTACGTATTCATCTGTCAGTCATAATTTATTTCTTGACAGCTACATTTCTTTTTCTGAAATTTCTTATATAAGTGTAGTATAATGAAAATCATTTATACTTCAAACGAAAAGGTATATTATTAAAGGAAAATTATGTTGTAGTAGCTTTCTGAGGCTATGCATTTTTCTACTTGCAATGTTGGAAAATTGTTATCTAGCTCGCCCTTTAGTCTCGCAAGATATCAATTTCCCACCGCTGCTCATAGCAAAATAAAAAGCCTCAGAGAGCTACTACAACATAATATTCTGTATATATATTTTTTTATAATTAACAAGTTTGGGCTATCCTTGAACTTTTTTTTTATTTAATCAAGATTGATTTTTTTAAAATATATTTATATGAATGCATGCAGCTTTGAAATAGATTTTACTTATGTATATTTGGCAGCAATTTCACATGTAGCTCTTCGAAAAAAAATCACTTGAGCAAAAAAAATTTTATAGGCATAAAGTGATACCCGTTCTGTCATCATCAGTTTTTGGTTTTTAGCTCACCTGAGCTTGCTCAGGGTGAGCTTTAAGGATCGGTGAATGTCCGTCGTCCGTCCACAATTGCTTGTCTCAATCATCATCAAACTTGGTCAGGATGCTTATCTAGTTGAAAGCATGGATGAGTTCGAACATAAGTCATCTCGGATGAAAGGCTAGGTCACAAGAGCTAAAAAAAGAAAAACCTTGTGAACACTGTAGAGGTCACATTTTTGACCCAATCATCATTAAACTTGGTCAGGATGTTTGCCTAGGTGATAGCTCGGATGAGTTCGAACATGGGTCATCTCTGATGAAAAAGTAGGTCACAGGAGCTATAAATAGAAACACCTTGTGAACACTCTAGTGGTCACATTTTTAAACCAATCATCATCAAACTTGGTCAGAATGCTTGTCTAGTCAATTGCTTGGATGAGTTTGAACATGGGTCATCTCTGATGAAAAACTAGGTCACAGGAGCTAAAAATAGAAAAACCTTGTGAACACTCTAGTGGTCACATTTTTGACCCGATCATCATCACACTTTGTCAGGATGCTTATCTGGTTGATAGCTCGGTGAGTTCGAACATGGGTCATTTAGGATGTAAAACTAGGTCACCAGAGCTATAAATAGAAAAACCTTGTTAACACTCTAGCAGTCACATTTTTGCATCAATCATCATCAAACTTGGTCAGGATGCTTATCTAGTTGATATCTTGGATGAGTTTGAACATGGGTCATCTCAGATGAAAATGTAGGTCACCGGAGCTAAAAATAGAAAAACATTGTTAACAATCTAGCGGTCACATTTTTGCATCAATCATCATCAAACTTGGTCAAGATGCTTGTCTATGTGATAGCTCTGGTGAGTACAAACATGGGTCATCTCGGATGAAAAAGTAGGTCACCGGAGCTAAAAATAGAAAAACCTTGTTAACACTCTAGCAGTCACCTTTTTGCATCAGTCATCATCAAACTTTTGTCAAGATGTTTGTCTAGTTGATAGCTCGGATGAGTTTGAACATGGGTCATCTTGGATGAAAAAGTAGGTCACCTGGGGTAGAAATAGAAAAACCTTGTTAACACTCTTGTGGTCACATTTTTGCATCAATCATCATCAAACTTGATTAAGATGCTTGTCTAGGTGATAGCTCGGATGAGTTCGGAAATGGGTCATCTCGGATGAAAAACTAGGTCACAGGAGCTAAAAATAGAAAAACCTTGTCTACACTCTAGTGGTCTCAATTTTGACTCAATTGTTAGCAAACTTGGTCAGGAAACTTGCCTAGGTCATTGCTGGGAATAAATCGAACATGGGACATCTCGGATGAAAAACTAGGTCACAGGAGATAAAAATAGAAAAATCTTGTTAACACTCTAGTGGCTACTGTTGTGATCCAAATATTCTGTTAATTGGTCTAAAAGTTTGTTTTGATGATTTCTAAGTCAAGATCCAACATGGGTCATCTCGGATGAAAAACTAGGTCACGCCGCCCAAATATGGAAAAGCCTTGTTAACATTCTACTGGTTACATTTTCGACTCAATTATCATCAAACTTGGTCAGGATGCTTGTCTAGGTAATTGCTTGGATGAGTTCGAAATCGCATGTGAAACTAGGTCACCGGAGCTAAAAATAGAAAAATCTTGTTAACACTCTTGTTGCTACTGTTTTGATCCAAGTATCCTGGAAATTGGTCTGACAGTTTGTTTGATGATTTTTAGGTCAAGTTTGAATATGTGTCACCTGAGTAAAAACAAGGTCGCACTTCTCAAATATGGATAATCCTTGTTAACACTGTAGTGGTCACATTTTTGACTCACCTGTCGTGAGACTTGGTCAGAATGTTTGTCTAGGTAATTGTTTGGATGAGTTTGATAAGTCAGGTGAGCGATCTAGGGCTATCATGGCCCTCTTGTTTTGTATGGTTTTATTTAAGAAATATTTTGTTCCAGTTATTTACAGATGTTTGTATGATTATTGGATTAAAGTTAAAGTACACTGATTTTCTTGTTATACACTACAATCCATTGTAACATCTTGAAATGTTTTCCATGATATATACATATATATTTATATATGGAATAACTATATGGTCTCAACCATGACTTGGTAGTTTTTAGCTCGACTATTTGAAAAATATGAGAGCTATTGTAGTAACCCAGCGTCCGCGTCTGCGTTGGTTTAAGTTTATTTTAAAGTCAAATATCTCAATTATTGCTTGAGATATTCAATTGAAACTTACAATAGTTATTATAGTAACAATGTACATCAGATTGACAAGTTGGATAACTCTGCTTACAATATTAAAACTTCACATGCATTTAGGGTCATAATTGTACATGTAGGTTACTGACCAAGATCCATAATTTTATCGAGAATTTAGGCTTATTTTTCTCCCCTTTTTCAACTTAGAATTTAATGGTAAAGTTTTGCTTGTAAGCATGTTATCTCCATAACTACTGAAGGGTTTGTGCCTTTTTTGGGACAATTTTATGCATTCATGATAAATAAAGCAGTGATTTACTTGATAAAACATCTTAATCCAAGCCTTTGTACCTTTTCGGTCAGTTTTATGTATTCATTGGTAAGCATTTTTTATACTCAATAAACACCCTTGTGACAACTTTTTCGAATAGTCGAGCCTTACTGTCCTCAGACAGTTCTTGTGTTTGTATAATAATAACTGAACAAAAGTTTGAAGGAGTTATATTTCACAAGGTATGCAAACAATAGCTGTTGGTAGGACAGCACACTCAACTATATGCTTAGTGCTTGACAATAGAAGAACCTTGGTTATTTAAAATATTTTAAGTTCACAAAAGGACCAAAAAATTTCTTTAAACCCAATATTCTACAGATATAAGCATTGGAGAGAGTCCTAGCTAGTATGCTCGCAAAGAAATGTATAACATTTCAATTTATTTCAAAGCCAGATGTCTATGGAATACGAAAATATCTTGAAGCCATAGGCAATCTTTAACAAATGGGTGCCTGATCGGGATCAAGTGTGCAAAGTTTCAATGCCATATGTCAATGGACTTCGGGAAAAATTGAGGTGATAGACGCCAATGTTCAGATGACTAGGATAATTCTACTTATTCTTATCGAATAATCGAGTAAAAATGTGACATCTGCTTTGAAAGTAGGAATGGCATCTGCTTGTAACAATAGACCACTATACAATCAACATAATGCGCCCCCAGCAGTGCTTTCAGCGCTTTGATTTTTATAATTGTAACAAATATACAAATAGTAACAAAAGGGACTTATATTATAATTGTATTTTTTTTATGTCAAATTTAAAAAAATGGTTTCTTTCAATACTGAAAGTAGAGCACACTCAGGATTGAAAAAATGGGATGAATTTCAAAAAGACCAAATTTGGAACCTTAGTAAGTAATACACATGGTACATGGTTATACAGTATTTATCAATATAATGAAAGACTGTTACCTGAATTTTAGGCAGGTATAAGGAAATTCAGTAGCATCATGTTCGTGGGAGTCAAAGATATAAAAGCTACTTGACATTGGTGATATATAAAAAAAACTATTGTTAATTGATTTATTGTGAGGTCAATATACTTTTTTGTTGAATTGCTTCAAAACCATTCATAAAAAACACATTACACCTCATGTTCTTACTGCAGATCTCAGTTTTCTGTTGTTACCAATATCTATCTATCGATAGCCTATTCTTACTATCCACTTATAAGGACACAAAATGCAGCTTTCGCTGCCGAGTACGGACCCTGGACATGTCACCAGTCATTCCCTTAAAGAGTTAATTTTGAACCACAAAGCTCACTTAGCAACCATTTCAGACATTACTGTTGCTTAATTAACAATAAGATATTAAGCATATATTTTATTTTGTTAATATTTTGTGTTGTTATTATACCCCCAAAATGAAGATTGGGTGTATATATATATATAGGAGTCACTCGGTGGTCGGTCGGTCAGCCGGTCAAGCGGTCCATTTTGCTTGTTTGGAGCATAAGTTGAAGACTAATGGTTGGAATTAAATACAACTTCATACAATGATCAAGCACATTGAGAGGAAGTGCAGTGCACAAGAATCATAACTCTATCTTGACTAATTAAAGAGTTATTGCCCTTTGTTATTTTTCCTTGTCCGGAGCATAACTTGAAAACTACTGGTTGGAATTCAAAACAACTTCATACAATGGTCAAGCACAATAAGAGAAAGTGCAGTGCATAAGAACCATAACTCTATCTAAAGTAATTACAGAGTTATTGCCCTTTGATACTTTTCCTTGTACGGAGCATAACTTGAAAAGTAATGGTTGTAATTCAAAACAAATTTATACAATGGTCAAGCACAATAACAGGAAGTGCACTGCACAAGAACCATAACTCTATTTGGACAAATTACAGTTATTGCCCTCTGTTACTTTTTTTGTCCAGTGCATAATTTAAAAACTAGTAGTTGGAATTAAATACAACTTCATACAATGGTCCAGGGCAATTAGAGGAAGTGCAGGGTACAATAACCATAACTCCATCTTCAGTATTTGTAGAGTTATTGCCCTTTGTTCCTTTTCCTTGTCTGGTGCATAACTTTAAAACGAATGTTTAGAATTCAATGCAACTTCATACAATGGTCAAGGGCAATGAATGCTCAAGAAGCGTAACTCTTTCTGGACTTATTACAGAGTAATTCAATTACATCAATGGTCAGCCACATCAAAAGGAAATGCAACATACAAGAACCACAACTATCTTTAATTGCCAAGAACCTTAACTCTATTTCAATTCTTTTGCAAGGTATTCTGTTACTAGTAACTTCCTCAATTCCGAAGCAGTCTTGCGGGGATATTAATCACATTTAGTGATAGTTCTAGTTTGAGATTAATAATATCTGTCATATGTTGCGGTTCAGATCAGAATATCCCCAGGGGTCCCAATCATGGACGGGTTCCCGAGGGACAGATACTCCGATCCGAACTGCAAACATATGTCATTTTTTCTTGCATATTCTACCATAATCCAGCATATTTTTAATTCTTTACCTTAATAAAACAAATTTCTAATGGAAATTACAACGGTCATAACAAGGGTATATATTTTCATACAACAGCATATGAAATTTCAATTTCATTCATTATATGGCAAAATTACAACATTTTATATGACATCCATATGACAGAAGAAATTTCCGGCATGAGTAAAATTAATGGAAACACCAGTCTGATATGCAAGAAATACTCTGTCAAATTGTTATAAATGAAAGTCTGGGTTTTTATTTAGTGATATAAAACCCTTATTATTCAGAGAATATCACTCATAGTGTTGTTAACATAACTTTGCAGATTTTTTATTGTGGTCTACGTATCAATTCAGGACTCCTTAAATTTCCTTATCTTATTCTTTAAAGCATATTTCTCACTTCAAAGACAATTACTGCACTAAAGTAATAATTTTTGCCCACCGCAATGATGACGTTATTTCGCAGTAAACACATTTTTAGCTCGACTATTCATAGAATAATGGAGCTAATACAGTCACCCTTTTGTTGGCGTCAGCGTCCCTGTGTTTAAGTTTTTGCGTGTAAGCTGTTGTCTTCATAACTACTGAAGGGAATTCATTGAAACTTCACACACGTGTTTTCTGTGATTATAAAACATGATTGGCTAAAGTCCCATACATGTAACTCTGATTTCTTTATTGCATAATTATGCCCCTTTTTCAGCTTAGAAATTCATGGTTAAGTTTTTGCTTATAAGCCGGTATCTCCATAACTTCTGAAGGGTTTGTGCCTTTTTTTTGAGACAATTTTATGCATTCATAATATTCAAGCAGCGCAGTGATTTACTCGATAAAATATCTTAATAACAAGCCTTGGTACCTTTTCGGACAATTTTATGTATTCATATAGGTAAGCATTATTATACTCAATGAAACACCCTTGTGACAACTTTTTCGAATAGTCGAGCGTCACTGTCCTCGGACATTTCTTGTTTATATAACAACTGCGTTATAAACTTGTTCAAGTAACCTTCAACCTCTGATGGACACTCCCTCAATCTTATTTTAAGTACCATAAGAAAGAGAATTTCAAGGAAAATTATGAGATGACAAATCTAATTTCATCTATTCAAATAACACTAGATATATTGTCCTTAATGCTACAGGGAACACTTTCATGGCTTACTTACTTCAAACAATCATCACATTTGAGCCGCGTCTCGACAAAACCAACATAACGGGTTTGCGACCAGCATGGATCCAGACCAGCCTGCGCATCCATGCAGTCTGATCAGGAATCCATGCTGTTCGCTTACAAATCCTATAACAAGTAGTGAAACTGATAGCGAACAGCATGGATCCTGATCAGACTGTGCGGATGCGCAGGCTGGTCTGGATCAATGCTGGTCGCAAACCCATTATGTCGGTTTTGTCATGACTCGGCTCATTTATTCTTTTGATTGTTATTTTATTTACAGAGTCAAGATGTTTTCCAAGTATAATTTCTTTATCCATATACATGTATATAGTAACATGTAGGGAGTGATATACATTCTATAAATCAGAATAAACACTTTAATGTAAGTAGAAAAAAGGAAGATATTACATCATGTGGGTAGCATTGTCTAATATAACGGACACTAAATAATAAGAGTATATAATTACGAGACAGTTGCTCTGTTTAGCGGATGTGTGTGTAAGACACTTTAAGTTCATTCTTGAAATCCCGTACTGCTTTATATGAAATTAATGGGAAAAAATAAACCAAATCTGAAACACTTTGTTTTATAATAATTATTGCTGCTAATAAAACTTGTTTATTGGAAAGCCAGTTTTGGTCACAATTAAGTGGCTCTGAGAATATGACATCTTAAGTTGTTGAAAGAAGCGGGAAATGGATGATAATTAGGTAAAACTGAATAGAAATTGAGTGATTCTGACTAAATGGGCTAATTTCAATAAAAGTAAAATTGCAGCTACATGTTGAATGACCCCCATAAAATATTATAT